TCGTGGTAAACCTGGCATAGCCAGTGTCACGATCTTAGCGTGACAATCAAGAATAGCATAATGGGGCGACAACCAGTCCATGCCCAAGATAACATCAAAGTCTACCATGTTGAGTAATAATAAATAGGCTCTGGTCTCAAAACCACTAAGAGCAATCAAACACGACCGATACATGTGGTTCACAATAAGAGAATCTCCCACAGGAGTAGACACATAAATAGGGAAACTCAAAAAACCTCGAGATAAGCCCAAATACGGGGTAAAATAAGAGGACACATAGGAATATGTAGAGCCTGGGTCAAATACTACCGACGCATCACTATGATAGACCGGAACAATACCTGTAATGACAAAGTCGGAAGTAACTGCCTCTATACGAGCCAGAAGAGCATAATATCTGGCCTGGCCTCCCCCTCTAGGGCGACCTTGACCTCCCCGACCTCCACCTCGAGTTGGCTGAGTAGGTGGGACCTGGTGCTGGAATCATAGCATGAGGACCTGGTGGAACACGTGGTGGCTAAGAAGTCTGTAGAGGTGCACCCCTCCTAAGTCTGGGCAATCCCTCACCATGTGGCGAGTGTCATCACACTCAAAACAACCCTTCGAAGGGTGTGGCTGTTGTGACTGACTCGGGCCAGGTCTGCTGGACTAGCCGCTAAAAGCACCCCGAGTAGGAGGCACACTAGATACTGGCGGTGCATAAGAAGGCTCTTGGGGCCTAGAAGGGACCGGAATACCACTGGCGGCTGGAAGAGCTGAATGAATGGGGCAACTCACATAACCCCTACCATGGCGAGCTGATGGGGCACGAGCACCAGAATAAGAACCAGTCTCTCGAGACCTCTTGGCCTCTCTCTCCTCTCTATCCCGAGCAAGCATGCCCTCTAATCTCCTGGCAATACTCACAACCTGCTGATAAGAAATATCCATCTCCAACTCCCTGGCCATACTAATCCGAATACTGGGGTGGAGTACCTCAATAAACCGACGAACCCTCTCTCAAACTGTGGCAACCAAGGCCGATGCATGTCGGGCCAAATCCCTGAAACGAACTGCATACTCTGACACGGTTATAGCACCCTGGCGCAGCTGCTCAAACTCCGCGCACCATGCATCCCTGAGGCTCTGAGGGACATACTCTCTCAAAAACATGTCCGAGAACTGAGTCCATGTAAGTAAAGTTGCCTCATCTGGACTACTCAACTCATAAGCACGCCACCACTGATAGGCTGCTCCTCTAAGCTAGAAAGTGGTAAAAGAAACCCCGCTCATCTCTGCTATGCCCATAGTACGAATAATACGATGACACTCCTCCTGAGCATCATCTGTAGCCAATCCACTGAAAGTAGGTGGGTGGTATTTCTTGTACCACACTCCTCCTGAGCATCATCTGTAGCTAATCCACTGAAAGTAGGTGGGTGGTATTTCTTGTACCTCTCAAGTCTGAGCTGCTCCGCCTCAGAAGCAGCTGTCCTAGTCTCGTGTTGAACCGGAGCTACCAGCTGCATAGGGATAAACTCTGGGGCCTGGTCGACCTAAGCCTGATGCTCTGGAGTACCGGCGACGGGAGTCTGAGCTCTTCCCCCGGCCTGAGATGTGGCAGGAGCAAGTGGAATCAATCTAGCCTGACCTAAAGAGCTGAACATGCTCAGAAACTGGGTAGAGTCTCCTAGAGAGCTGGTGCAGCAATAGGCACCTCAGGTGCCTGCCCTCTATCTGGAGCTATTGGGGGCTCCTCTGAAGTAGTTTGTACGGGTGCTCTGGCTGCACCGCGTGGACGTCATCGACCTCTACCCCGGCCCCGGCCTCTCGCGGCTCTAGCAGGGAGCGTGGGTGCCTGGTCATCAGATTCGCATGTACGTGTCCTCACCATCTGTGGGAGAATAGAATACAAAAGTTTAGAATTTTTGATGTCAACAAATTTCGCACAACAAGGAATCAAAGAAGTATAATGTTTTTCCTAACAGTTCCATAGCCTCCCGAAGATAAGTACAAATATTTTCGTACTGATCCATGAGACTCTAATAAACCGACTTGTGACTGACGACACCTATGAACCTAGAGCTCTGATACCAACTTGTCACGGCCGCAAACTCCCTCCGTATAACGTCGTGATGATACCTAGTCTCTACGACTAGGTAAACCTAACAAATTGCGGAAAATAACAAAGCGGAAATAAAACTTGGCAACTAACAGCATTGGATAACTGAATAACTAATAACAATGCTGCTCGGTATGTACAATAACCAATACTCTATAAATACACCATCTTCCCAAAACCCGGAACATCATAAGTCACAAGCTACAGAAGGAAACTAGTATCTCTATACACCAGAGTCTAACAAAAGAAGTACGGAAGGTAAATAAAATAAGAGAGAATAGAGGGGTCTCTAAGGTCTGCGGACGCGGCAGATGTACCTTGAAGTCTCCGTACAGCAGCAAGCACTCTCAGCTAATAGCGGGGCTGATAAGTAGTACCTGGATCTGCACATAAAAAAACATATGCAAAAGAGTAGCATGAGTACACCATAACAGTACCCAGTAAGTGTCAAGCCTAACCTCGATAGAGTAGTGACGAGGTCAGGTCAGGCCTACTGGTATATAATAAATAAAACAGGAGAATATACAGTATAATAAGAGACTAGAATTTAACAAAAGGAAACACAGCAAGGCAACAATACAACACACAGGGGTAAACAACAAGGGATCTCCCGAGATACCATCTCGTAGTCCCTAAATAAATATACAGGGAGAACTCCCGAGGTATCACCTCGTAGTCTCAAAAGTAAATATGCAGGGAAAACTCCCGAGGAACTGCCTCGTAGTCTCAAAAGTAAATATACAGGGAGAACACCCGAGGAACCACCTCGTAGTCTCAAAAGTAAATGTGCAGGGAGAACTCCCGAGGAACCGTATCGTAGTCACAAAAGTAAATGTGCAGGGACAGCTCCCAAGGAACCGCCTCGTAGTCTCAAAAGTAAATATACAGGGAGAACTCCCGAGGAACCGCCTTGTAGTCTAAAAAGTAAACACACAACTCAACCGATAAATACCATAGTTAACAGCAAGAATTTTACAGTCAAGACTAATAAAGAACAAGGAAAAGCAGGAAATGAACTAGGCATGCTTCACAGAGTTCAAATAAGTAGTTAAAGCACATAGACATGCGATATTAGACTAAACATGATAACTACGCATACTGGAATAGCTAAATTAAGAATGAAATAGACTGATACTCATTTAAACGGTATAACTCAAATTAAAGGAAAAACAGGTTGCTACTCAGTAAAATAAATCGAGTTTTTCAACAAATAGCCCGTGTATGTACTCGTCACCTCACGTAAGGCGCTCACATATCACGACAGTACCAAATCCTAAGGGGATTTCTCCCACACAAGGTTAGGCAAGCAACTTATCTTGAATCAAGCTCAAATCAATCTGTAACAATGCTTTTTCCACGAATATCCGACTCTGAATGGCCCAAATCTAGACAAAATCAATTACATATCAAAAATATAACTATAAGAAACTAATCTAGTTAATGAAATCAAAGCTAAAGTGAGAAATTATAAAATCGTCCCTAAAGTCTCCCCGAGCCCACGTCTCGGAATCGGGTAAAAGTCACAAAATGCGAACATTCATTCACTCGCGAGTCTAACCATACAAGAATTACTCGAATCCGACCTCAAATCGCCTTCCAAAACTCGAAATTATAGCCTATGAAGTTTCTACCATTATCCCCCAAATTTCCAACTCAAATCCCTAATTAGAAATTGAAAATAGCAATAGATTCATGAAATATAATCCAATCCGAGTTAGAACCACTTACCCCAACAATTTCCTTGAAGAAATCTCGAAAAATTGCTTCACACTGAGCTCTCAAACTCCCAAAATTGAAATGGGAAATCAACCCTCGAAATCCTATTTTCTGCCCAGTAAACTTGCTTCTGCGAGCCTTCAACCGCACCTGCGGGAAAACCATCGCAGGTGCGAAAATGACTTAAATGGCTGGGACTGCATCTGCGAGCTTTGGGCCGCACCTGCGAGCCTGCTCCTGTGGTTTGACTTCCGTATCTGTGACCTTTGCCCAAGCCGCCCATACCGATCCTGCGACCATCACTCCGCATCTGCGGATGCGCAGATGCGGCTCCCTTCTCGCACCTGCGCTCACAGACCTTCTTGACCAAAAGCGCACCTGTGCCCTGCACTCCGCACGTACGATCCCACACCTGCGGTCTCCCCACCGCAGGTGCAAAAACACCATAACTCAGATAGCTTCAGCAATTGCATAAGTCCAAAACTCAATCTGTTAAGAATCCGAAACACACCCTAGTCCTCCGGGACCTCAACCAAACATACCAACTAGTCCTAAATCACCATACGAACTTAGCCTCAATACCAAATTTTTAATGTCAAATACTTCATATTAATAATAATTAAATTAAAAAATTCAACCATCAAATAATGAGCACAGAATAAAAGAAACAAAGCTTCAACTAAACAGGTAAAGCAATTAGCAGGAAAAGGTAAGGCAAATTTAAAATATAAAAAATAGACCAATGATGATGAACTGTATGGCTGAAAGCAAACAAATATGCGTTAGCTATTAAGAATTGACTGAATTTACCTGGTTCTTGAAGTTTGCAACCGATATAGGCCTTCTTTCTATGGTCGTTGGGGTCCAATTGAACGGGGTTAAGGTCTTCTATGGTCGATCCTGCAGCTTCGATCATGTGGGGATCTTTGATGCCGTCCCTGATCTTGTCGTGCTCCGATCTCAACCCTGCTTATTGCTATACCTCGTTTTCTTTGTCCTTTCTTTGTTGTGTGGCCGTGCTGTCTAAGGCAATGCGGTAGCATTCCCGGGATGTGCATTGTTCTCTACGTATACTGAATATTCCCCATGGAGTTGGGAATTTAATTACTTGGTATAAGCTGGAGGGGATGCCTCTCATGGGATGTATCCATGGTCGACCCACTATGGCATTGTATGCGGTGGCCTAGTCCATGATGTGGAATGTTGTCTTTAGAGTTACGCCGCCGGCCAAGACAGGGAGTGTAATTTTCCCGGATGTTTGTTCAACTGCATTGTCAAAATCGGTTAGTGTGATGCAACGCGACACTATCTTATCCTCAAGCCACATTTGGGTATGGACTCGGGGATGAATAATGCACACACCGCTTCCATCGTCCACCATGATGCGCTTGAAATCGGTATCTAAAATACGTAAATTAATAACAAGGGCATCATTACGAGGGAAAGTCAAATCGTCGGCATCTGACTCGTTGAAGATGATACTCTCTTCGAGTCCGTCATTGTCGCGCCCCATTTTCTCGCGGAAGCGGGCTTCGACTTGTGACAACTCTTTAAATGGGTATTAAAAGAGAAGAGTCGCCACTTAATAATTTTAAGGTCTGTAAGGGAACCTATTTGCAAATAACTCTGTTTGACTAGTCTACATCACCAAAGATCGGGTAAGGGCTCAAATTACCTCGAAGAGAAGGTGTTAGGCACTCTTCGAGGTCCACAACGGTGGGTCCCGGCCGAAGTTTATGCTATGTGGATTATGGAGTTATAATTAAGCTAAGTGGTCATAAAAAGGATATGGAAGTTTGAAAATCTATTATAACAAGTGTAAAGAAAACAACACAAGATTTAAACTAAATCAATACAAGTTCTTAGAGGTTACAGGGACACAACTGCATCGATCTATATTTAATGACTAAGTCCTTTTAGCAAGCATATAAAGGGAAGGAGTCTTAAGTTTTTTAGCCTAAAGGATCACTCTGTGCAACATAAATAATACTTCGCAACTCCTTTAGGGTAGGGGTTGCTTATATTATTCAGCGAGCATAGACTATCATCTCCTACTACCCGATTACTATGTTAAAGTTGTTACTTAAAGGTGCTCTAATTTAATTCTAGGTCACATCCTATGCGTGCACTACCCGTCCCATGCCTATGGTACAGGAGGCTTTAGACCTACTATTTAGGTGGTTCTAGACTTTACTTAGGTTGCTCAAAATGATAAAACTAGTCACACATTCAAAATAAACGGGACTGTACATAATAGCAATGAGTGGCTCATGTTAGCCTCCACACATAGCAACAAAGGCACGCAAACAGATTTCAGGTTATGCAGTAGACAATTTCAGAATTAAGACGTATTTGAGTAATTAAGTCCTATAGACATAACTTTTATGTGATTCTGACTCCTAGTATTGTACAGGCAGTACTGCAACTTTTAGACTAATGCATAGGTAGATTGAAAGCATTGCAAGTCCTATAGGCATGATCTCTAATTGTTTGCGTAATTAGGCAGTGAAACGATCCCAGAATTCTGAATTACCAGTGCTGATTTTATAGACGCATTTCTTAGGCAGGTGGCAATGTCCTATAAGAAGGATTTCTATTAGTTAACTGTTGAAATTGATTTTATAACTTTATACCTATAGGCATGTTGTCTAAGTGTGGCAATGCGATGAAGTAACAAAGTAATTGATTAGTTGATTAAAATCCTATAGTCATGATATCTAAAGAAGCAGCGTGCTAAGAGCAATAGAAAAAATTGATTGATTGATTAAGTGAAACCCTATAGATATGGTATCTAGAGGAACATTAGCAAAATATGTGTTATTGTATCCTATAGGCATGATGTCTAAGTGTGCACAATAGTAGACTTGGAAACAAGTATAGCAAATACTCAAACATGCTTTAGACAATTGAGTGAAGTGTGTGTGATTTCCTATAAGCATTCTTTCTATGAGTGTGTAGAAATAGAGCATGTCAAACAAAATAGCAAACAAANCCCCCCCCCAATTTCATTAATTTCCCTATCATTCAGTTTTACAAGTTTTTACAGACCATATTGAATGATTGCATGCCCAAATATGGATATAGAATAACCTAGTAACACATTTGGGCCTTCAAATAAGCTTAGAGCTTCATATGGATTGTAGGCCCAAACTCCAGGTGCGGACAGTGTTCTTCAGACCTCCAAAGCAGGCCCAACATACCACGCCTAAAGGAATAATTTCTTACCCAAATGGATGCCAAACTTGGCTATACAGATGACAAAATACACACATAGTTAATTGACAGCTCTGAAGCTTAAAACACTCAGTCCTTAAGCTATGACCAACAATAACTCTAAACAAGACTTATAGTGTTACACCCCATATTTTCGTACGTAAAAGTACGCCACAAGTAAATTGATGAAAGTTCGTAAATAAGATGTTACATCCCGCATTTTCGTATGTTAAAGTTTCGACGTAAGTTTGAGAATGAGATAATTTTGGGATTATAAGTATTATGCTATTTCAAAACAAGTGATGAGTAAATGCGTGAAGGTGAGAGGGTAAGCAAATCGAAGAAAATGAATTTCGTCAAAGTTTGTCATTTTGAGATAAAATACGGTCCAAGCTACAATATCCCATATTTATGGACTAGTCCCATACATAGTACCACATGACTATGATAGTAAGGTGTATGAGGTATGTTAAAAGTGAGTAGTATTTTAAGTAATTTGAGATAATTCCTAATTATGTGGGTAGTTGGTTAATTATTAGTTAATGGGAGATTAACTAATTAATTGAGAATTTGTGGATAAGTTTGGTGGTGACATAAGATCATCAACGTGGCAGCCAAGAAAGCCAAAAATGCTTACTCTTAAGTTCATATATAGGTGGCACATTTAGAGGATTAAGTGGCTTAGTCATCTAATATGTGGGGCCTACACCCACCAAGGTCTAAAAATCTCTCTAAATCACTTAAGGAGATTTGATATCTCTACAATAGGAGGAATGAAGGCTTCGGCCAATTCATATGAGAATTCATATGGTAGTAACGTGATCTTCTTGAAACAAATATTTAAACGAGATTTCTTTGTATATTAGCAACGTTATTGAATTGCCCACATCTTAAGAAGAAGGCTTCAGCAAATATGCTTTTGCAATAGCAATGTTATTGCTTCAAGCATTTCATACGAAGACTACTTAATATTATAGCAACGTGGGATTTGCGATTCTAAGAAAGTCCGGTACAATCTTTCTCAAGAATATTATACGAATTTTTCCCTACTTCGATCTCGCCATTGCATGTTTTGTCACGTTTGGCGTGTGTTAGAGGGATTGTCAAGAGAATCGGCTTAGGTATGTTAAGGCTATCCCTTCTTTCCTTTTGGCATGATCCATACGATACAAACGAAACGAGCAAATGCACAACTTTCATAAATGACTATATTCATAGAAGTACTAGAAGTGCCTATGTTCTTGATTCCCCATGTGTCCTATTATTCTATCATCTGTTCATGGATCTCAGAAAATACGTAAGTTGATAAAGTTTATTTCAGGATATTAATCAAAGTCATATTGATCTTATGACATTCGGAGAAATCTTATTAACGTACTTCTCATGCATTTCATTCATTTTTACATGCACATTGACCCATGACCAGATGGCGTTATATACGTGTATATTATATGTATATGGGATATGGGAAAAGGTTACAACGTTATATACGCACCATCACCTGATCAGCTGGTATACGTTGATGATTTGCCGACAGTGGCCGAGATGATATAATGGGATGCCCTCAGAGGCTTGATGATGTTATGTACGCATATACCTATGCATGGTATGATATTTATACGCATATGCATGGCAATGTAAATATTAATAATTCACAGAGTTATTCAGACTTACATGTTGAGTCTTTTACTCCATGTTTCTCTCATGTCTATTATTTACTGATTTTCATTCCTTATATACTCGGTACATTATTTGTACTGACGTCCCTTTTGCCTGGGGACATTGCGTTTCATGCCCGCAGGTCCCGATAGATAATTTGAGAGTCCTCCAAGTAGGCTATCAGCTCAGCGAAAGATGTTGGTGTGCTCCATTTGCTTCGGAGTTGCTTATTTGGTCAGTATGATTAGGACATGGTATGGCGAGGCTCTGTCCCGACCTTTATGATATTTATGTACTCTTAGAGGCTTGTAGATAGATGTCATGTATACGGATACTTGTATGGCCTTGTCGGCCTGTGTTTTGAGTATATAAATGATCATGTTGGCCTTATAGGCCCTTACGTCATATGTATAAGTCAGTATATCAAGTTGGGTCATCATATATTGAGTATTCCCTTATGCTTTATTCTAGTCATCTCATGATAGCCTTTCTGGTTCATTTACCTATAATAATATGATGCGGAAGATACGTTACGTTAGTACTCGGTTGAGTAAGGCACCGGGTGCCTGTCGCGGCCCATCGGTTTGGGTCATGACAAAAGTGGTATCAGAGCAGTTCTGTCCTAGGGAGTCTATAAGTCATGTCTAGTAGAGTCTTGTTTATGGGTGTGTTGTGCACAACACTTATAAGTAGGAGGCTATAGGGCATTTAGGATTGTCACTCTTTCTTCTTACTCTAGATCGTGTGGTAGAGCTCAGTTATAAGAATTCAAACTCTTAAACTCTATTTTATTCGTAATACAACGATATCTACATCCAAAAAGACAGTTAGTAAGAGATTGAATGTGGTTGTGGAAGAGTTGAGTCAGAGGAACTCGATTTTTTGCATCATACTTATGATGAGTAAATGTGAGGTATTCAGTAGAACATGTGTGTACTAAGACGTGTAATCTTCTTGATAAGGAGCCTTAAGGTAAGAATATCTATCCACCCATATGGTGAAAAGTAATGAGATATTTAGAGCGTAGATACAAGTTTCAACAGGTAAAATAAGCAAGGTGAAGAAGGGTACAGGGTGCCCAATTAATGAAGATTATCAGAATTTACAATTCAAGCAGAGAAATATAAGCCTTATGAGTTACCTTCAACAATAACATATGTATGTACAATTAGCCACACCCATCTCAATTATGCCCTATGGGATCTGGCACATATAGTTTAAGAGAAGGATGGGATATCAAGATCAAGCTCGGGTTAGAGTAACCCAAAATTGTGGATGGATTGTTAACCTTAGTTGACATTTCTGAAGGATATTGCAAATGTGCTAATAGATCTCCTTGTGAGACACCTAGATGGTGCACTCTAAAATAGTATAGCTAGATATGAGTACTACAAAGATACGCACTGGAAGCCTGGAAGGGATAGATATTATCTTAGTGTGGCTCCAGTCCCTAGTAGAGAGAGAACGTTAGGCAACCCGAAGAGCTAGTGTATGGAGAAAGGGGAGCAAAAAGAAAAACAATGTCTTGTTGAAATTTTTAGAATAAAGTGATAGACAAAAATGTTAGCAGAGAAATAGGAAGAGAGTTAATGATGCATTATGAGTAAGATGTGATACATGGATGATAACGGTAGATAAAAA